CCAGCCTAGGCCATTCTATGATTCATCTGAGCATCAGCCAGGATGTTAGCTTTCCTCTGACCTCAAGCTTTCTGGGCCTACATTTCAGGACCCAACAGCACCCCCTGGCTTCTGTGTGTACCCCTACCTGCACCCTGAAACACAGCTGAAGGGACAGACATGCACTGTCTCCCTTCCCCTCCATGCTCTGGTTCTTGTGGGGAGAAACACGGTGGGTATGGGCTGGAAGGGAGCTGCAGCATGCTCTGGTTGATGCCCGCCCTGCATGATTTGTGGATCAAGGTCTTGTGTCACCATGACTGATGGGCAGCAGCTGCTCTGGTCAGACACAGCCGGTGTTAAACAAGCTAGGATCCAGATCTGAGCAAGGAACTACTCAAAACTCCAAGGCCATTCTTTGCTACTATTACTTGCTATCCCATGTTAGCCAAAGTTTGAACACCATTAAAACTTTTGACTTGTGATGTCTGGATATAGGTTTAAAATGTCTTTCCCACCCCTTCTTCAGAAGAAAAAGTGCAACAGTAGCCATGCTTTTTTCCATCTAAAAAGAAATTACTGCATGATGGATGCACCGTTCAGGTGCCACAGCACTGAAGTGGGTATTGATACCAGTTTTAAATGTCTTTCCTCCCAGCTTTATGCAAATACTGCAGAGTATCACACCTCCTTTGCTGGATGCCGTGATTGCGTTCCGTATCTTGAAGCAGCTCATGGGTGTGATCTGCCTGGTGCCCCTCAGGCTGCCAAGAGTGCCCTCTTACGGGAAGCGTACTGGCACCGGGTGTCATGATGGAGCGAGCCTATGGCTGGAGATACAATAATTAATGTACAAGCTTAAAAAAGGGAAGGAGGCAGCAGGGAAATAATAAACTTTTCCTCTCCACTACCCTTTAAGCAGGCACTAAAATGATGGTTAAAGGACCATTTCTTTATATTAGACTTGCAAGTACAGGAAGCGTTGTATTTATTGTACCTAAAGGAAAACATTGTACTACAACAGCAATCTCCGTAACGATTACTGTAAAGCTGTTCTCTATTTTGTTTTGTTGAGGAACCTATTAAACTGGCATAACAGAAAGTTCCAGTAAAAATTCTTGAGAAAAAAAAACTTCTTTATGAACTACATGTATGTGAACAAAATGTTAAAGGTTTCTGGTATCGCTGTAAATGTACAATTCATGTTAACAAAACATTTGGAAGCAATGTGTAAATTAACTTACGTCCATTTTTCCTCCGTAGATGATAAATCGTTTTCCTGAAACACATTCAAAACAAGTATTATAACTTCATGGTGAACAACAGCCAGATGGGTTTCCTTCCCTTAACCCTCACCACACCTTCCTCTGCTTGAGCTGCTGGATGCGTTGGCAAGTTCCCTCTGTCCCTCTTGCCTCGAAGCTGCTGAGAAACCTGCATCTATGCCAAGGATGTTGGTCACACCGCTTCCCTGGCTGCGCTGCATGATGGGTGCAACTAATGAATTCCCTCAGGGTGCTGACGTGCTCTAGAGATTTACAGCTACAGCACAACTTCAGCCAAAAGGGACCTGGGCAGTTGTCTGGACCAGCCTCCAGTGTGAAACAGAGTGCAAGACATCAGGTTGCTCAGAGCTGAGTCCAGCTGGGTTTTTAGTATCGCTGTGGATGGATCTTTCACTGCCCCCTCTGGACCTCCTGTGGCAGTGAATTCTCTTTTTTCTTCTTCAATTCGTGGGGACAAAATCACTCCCACAAAGTTAGCTGAAGTTTAAACAAAATGTCTCCTAGACATAATTAAAAAGTTTGAGGTCTTAACTTTCAGCTACTCTCATTAGGCTGTACAGGTTCACCACAAAGCCTGTGGTATAGCTCTCACAAGAAAGGCTGAAAAGGAGAATTTGAGAGTATTCAAAAAAGACTAAAGGTAGTTCCAAACTGAGTTCTGGTTCCAAACTGAGTTCTATCTGAAAAGGTTATTATCGAAGATGGTGTTTAGTTCTTGATTTTCATTCAGAATCTCCCTAATTTTGTAAATAAGTCTTTACATTTTCTAAAAAAATTGTGAAACTCAAGGGAATAAATGTTCTGATTTTTCAGATTTTTTGCTCTTTTTCAGTTGAAATATCCGTGTTTAATGGTGATGGTTGCTGTTCATATAGCTTGAAGTGTCAAGGTGCCACTTTCTGTTGGTTTTTGGCAGATACTTAGCCCTGTCTGTGATGTTTCCTTGTGTTTTGCTCTAAGTACTGAGGGGTATGTCACGGTTTTATCATCTGCCTTAAGTAACTATGTGACATTTTGTATTTCTCTAAAGGAGAAACAGGGAATGCAAGTCACCATTCACCTGGGGAAACACATATGCTTTTAGAAGAATTAAAATACTAAAAGATACAGCTGCATCTAGCAGAAACTTCAAACTCACCTAGATGCCCAGGTGCCACTTCCTGTTTTCTCAGCTTCTTTTCTTGTTTCTGTCAGAAAAAGTATGAGGCAAGTGGTTCCTGATCTCTCATATTTGGAAATCATAGAGTTATAGAATCAAAGAACATTTCTGGCTGGAAGAGACTTCAAGATCATCAAGTCCAACATTTTCCTAGCCCTATCAACACCACTAGACCATGTCCCTCAATGCAACATCTACCTGTCTCTTAAGCACCCCCAGGGATGGCGACTCAACCACCTCCCTGGGCAGCCTGTTTACCAGGTAGCTGTAACAGAGAATTTGCATATTCTGAAAACGCATTAATATCTTGCTAATTGAACCTGGTTTCTGTCATCATGATACAGTAAAACTGAAAATACATTCAGAACAGTTTAGATCCCACCTTTCTTAACATTGTACATGGTAACATTTCAACTCTGTAGCAAGCTAGGAACCAATTAAGAGGAAAGATACTGCACCTTAAAAATAAAATGAGTTTTATTTCGAGGACAGCAAACCATTTGCTAGTATTTAATCACTTCCTGTTAGTACACTTCTTTCCAGCTTTTTAAAGTGAAGAACTTGTGCAAAATACTGATTGGTTTTGTTGTTTTTGTGTTGTTTTTTTTTCTCAAACATCTACTAATAATTGCACTTTTTCTTCAAGTATCAGCCTATTCATGCCAGAATTTGCATTTGGCAGTGGATAAAATATGGAATGAAAAATTACAGTCTATGCAGTGCTTTTAACTTTATTTTGAATATATGCACAGCAAGATGAATCTTTGCATCTCTAGACTTTCCTTTTTAACCTTCAATTTTTCTCTTCTACCCTGTGGCAGTGGCAATGGCTTGGTGATTAGGGCTGCCCTGGAGTAGGTGGATGTGCCGTGTGAGGCAAAGACCAGAGCAGCAGGTGAAGATTTGGCACAACAGGGCAGCTAGGATGGGCTTTGTAGGGCAAAGAACTGGGCAGGAGGGTTAAGGAAAAGTACCATAAGATGCTGCTACCTGGGTGCTGCAGTTCATGGTGCAAGGGTGGGGAGGATGGAGAAGAAAAGTAATGTATACAAGGAAGCATGGTGGAGTATGTTGACGGTGGCCATGGAGAAATACAAAGTGTAGAGCCAAACACTACGTGACAGCATGGTGCTGTGTGAGCAGCAGTGGCTGTAGTAACCCTGACCAACCCTGGCCATGAAGCCTGGGGTTACAACATACAGGAGACTGGCAAAAAAAATACTTACTATAAAAGCTGAACTTTTTTTTTTCCAAACACGGGGTCCCTTGGTAGCATACAGAGATAAAGTCTAGATGCCATTTGTGCAGTCAGTGCCTCTCTTCTAGCTGCTGGGTAAAAAGTACTTGCTAATGAAGTGTAAGCTAATGTTATTGACTTAAAATTGGAACAGAACAGGACAAGAGAATACTATCAGCTTAAAAGGATGGGCAGAATGGCTTTTATATGAGTAAAAGAACTATTTTCTTGTCATGGTCCAGACAAATTTGTTTTACACTGGGGTGAAATAAAAGCTTCAGAGAGGACAAGCAGATACCCTGATGTGAACTCTATCTTCCTCAATTTGATTACTGAGAGTTTTGGGAGTTTTTTGATCTTGACAAAAAATACACCAAATACACCTGCATTGCTCATTATCATTGATCTCATCTTTATTGCAGTGTTGTACTAATTTTCCACTGTTTACTGTGTCTGATTTTAAACTAGATTTCAAGGTCATTTGAGGGAAGGCCCATGCATTCTTATGTATGCTTTAGCCACTAAGCACCCAAAAATCGTGTCTGGGCTTTTTGATGCTGCTACGATCCTAATGACAAGTAATTAAAATTAATATATAGTAATTATGAGTAATGCATAGAGTTGTACAGAGAGCTACTGTCTCACCCTGTGCCAGCTGTCTTAAAATCCTGCAAAGGCTGTGTGAGGGCAGGGAAAGATTGAAGTTTTCTTGATGGCTTTATTTTCCAATAGGGAAAGGAAAAATGTCTTGAGATGAAAGAGGGCCCATCCACCTCAGTCCCAAAGAGCTGGCTGGCAGAGAGGTGCCAATCCAGTGAGCTGACAAGCATGAATGTCCCTGTGTTTTGGGGCAGGAGCACTAGATTCAGGTTTAGAGGTGTGAGTTTGTCTCTGACTCTTCCTGCAGAGGTATCTGGCTTCCTCCAAGGCCCATGGTCCTGCACAGCCTGAAGATCGATGGGGTTGAAAATGCAGCCATCACATGGCCACAGCACCTCTGACGTGTGCACCTGTATACACACACACACACCTGGATACGCATGCACACAGGGCTGAAGACAGACAGCCCTCACCACAGCTGCTCCACGCCTCTGGCTGCCACCAGCCCTTCTCCAGCTGCCCTCTTCCCTCCTGCTCCTCTCTCTGGGACCCAAGGAAGGTGTCACTGCCAGGTCCCTGCCCAAGCCCATGGCCCCTCAATGGCTGGTGGATGACCGTTTGGTGGCAATGGGGCGTGGGGAGCACAGAGCCCCAAGATGCCGGTGCTGGGGTGTGTAAGTACTGGCTTGGCTTTGCCCGCCTGTCCCAAGCCCCCCCGCCGGAGTCGTGGAAGCATTACACAAAACGCCTGGGGATCTTCTCGCTCTGAAGTTGACTAGTGTCACTGTCACCAGCCAGGGGCTGAGCAATAGCACTGCTCCAGGCTGGCTTTGGAAGCACACATCCACTCCGATGCTCAGCTAGCTGCGTGTAGCCCATACTGCCGCCATTGGCCTCTGCTGCCTGTTTTAAACATGAGAGAGGACATACGTGCCTTTATTACTCTTGCTGTAGGGTTTGCTTCGTGTGCCTGAAGAGCGGCTGTTGTGAAGCTTGTCAGAGATCCCTCGAGCAGGCTGCTCAAAGCCTTCCAAGGTAGCAGCAAATTGAACTTTGTTATTGTTTGTTGTTGCCGGATAATCACTTAATTTTGCTGTCTGATGCATGAGACACCGAAATGGAGGTGGTCTCCTGGCCCCTTCCAAGTCTGTTATTAAGGATTCTGAAGAGACAGCCCCTCATGCAAGTCCCAAATGGCTGTGAAGTGCTAAATGGCAAGGTTGGCAAGGGTTTGTATGTGGTCCTTCAATTTTTTGTGTGATGTAGGTGGACATTTTTGGTGGGAGCAGTACCAGCAGTTAGTCAACACTTGCTCTCACATAGCAGACATGAGTCCTTGCCGTGAAGGGAAGCAGGGGCTGCCCCTCGCCGTGTGACATCCCTGCGGTAACCCAAGGGCAGCCAGGCTCTGCACCAATATGGAGCAGCTTGGGGCTTGGGTTTGCAACTGAGTACTGTTCAGATATAATGACCTCACAAATTGCTCCCTGCTAGCTGGCTGACTCCCCAGCTGGAGTCTCCTGTCAGCAAGACCTGTGCAATGTTTGCCACGAAGTTCTCCCTGCATGACAAGGCTTTGTGCAGCCACTAGTACGTGCACATATAAACGCTAATATAATTAATTAATATCAGCCTGGTTGGAAAGAAAGGCCTTATCTAGCAAAGATAGTGATACCTTTCCTAGCTATTTCCCAAGGAATATATTTTTTTTTAAAGAATATGCATATATTTTAATACAGTGAGTTGCATGTCATAGTGCTATGCAATTTCATTGTATAACTTCCATACTGGCCATTTAATCCAGAATATGCATTGAAACCTTCTCAGTAAGTTTAAATCACTAAACGTTTTTTCTGGTTTAAAAGTAGTAGTTTTATATTTCTAAGTGCTCTTTAAATTGCAACAACAAGTTCTCTCTTTTTTTTTTTTGAAGTTGGAAGACTAAAGAGAATTTACCTCTGACAAAACAGAAATAGCTTAGGCTAAACTTGTATTATGTTGTTCTACTGCTTTTTGCCTTTCTTTCTTCATAAGGCTAAGCAGCCAAAATGAAACTAGGTGATAGAGGAATGTTTCTGCTTAAAGTAATAGCGCCCATGTTCAGTAAGTGCATGCTGTACCTTTATAACACTTATCAAGCAAAAGTCTCGGAGCACTTGGCAGCAATCTAATCAAAGCAAGGAGCTGTGTGAGATAGTGTAAACCATATCACAGCAATTTAAATGACATGTGCAATTAACATTTGGGGCTCTGTTTTTCCATCTCAGTCTCTTGATGACCAGGTAGCTTTGTCCGTTCCTAGCTTTACCCCACCATTCAAATGAACACAAGAAACACTTTAAAATTTATTCTTTGAGCGTCTCCCTAAAGTCTGCATTACCAGATTTGCCTATGTTTTCATAAACTTCATGTGCTTCAAAGGCTTACTTTGGCCTTACAAGGGAGCAACTCTTTCTGGCTGACTAGGTTGCATTCTGAGACTCTCGGAAAGCAAAAAATAATGGATTTTTTTTTTTGTCTTGGAACTTCTTGTGGAATGTCAGGACTGCTGAAGCTCCAGAATGGGTCTGTTAGATAATTTTGGCAAATTCTCAATGTGATAACTACAACACAATCCTGTACTGAAAAGAAAAACCCATTAGTAAAATGATAGTAACTAGTATACTTTTTTTATCTCATGATGCACAAAATTTACGAAGAAGGTAAAATAACATAAATTTATTCATTTGATATACTTATGAAGAAAGAATAAAGCAATATGGATAAAGCAAGATGGACATCAACTAGTTTCACTGTAAGCTTAAATCACCGAAAATTGTTCCCCTATACAGGCAATAAAATTTTGTTTTTCTAGCTACCCCGTAAAATGAAAAAATGGTACCTCTTGTTGCAGAAGTTGAAAGGCTATTGCTTTTAATTTTCTTTCGCGATGGGTAAAATTAAAAGTGCAAATTTCTATGCACTGAAACATGCATGTGCTCACTGTGCTCTGTGCATTGTCTATTTTATGTCCAGCCTCTGGATATTGTCAGATAAAAGAACATTTTCATTTTGTGAAGGAGGTGCTCTTAAAAAGCAGCGAGGCACACCAGACAAGGGAGAAACAGTAAGCTAATCTCCTGTAAAGTAGGACATGAAAATGTGTTTCTCCTCAAAAAGTTAGTGAAGCAAACCTCTTTAATTCAATTAATGAAAATTCGAAAGCCAGTCTCTTTGTTCCCCCAGTGATGTGACTGGTTTAGGAATAGATTTTTTTCCCCAATAATACTACGATTCTTAGTCACTTATAATTTTTTAGCTATTAGAGTTGTCTTTTAATTTTTTTTTCTGAAAGAGGAAGTCTAAAAATATGCATCTCATAAAATGAAACCAGTGAGACCATTATCATCCCAGGACTCAGAATCTGCATACTAATAAAACGTTTTAAAGGTCTGGCAGTGGATTCATGGTGAAGACAACATGCGTAGACCTGTCTTACACAACAGCACCTGTCCCACTGTAGAAATGGGAAATAATTATCATACGCAACATTACTTTTGACTCTGGTGATGTTTCTGTTGCATCAGTGCCTCAGAAAGATAGTATGGGAGACTGCTGGGAAGATCGATGGACAGCGTGGCCAGTCGGAGCAGGGTGCTATGTGCTTGAAAACTTAAAATTTGGCAACCCAAGTAGCATGGAGCTGCCTTTCAGGGAAGCTCAGGAAGGAGTAGGTTAGCTGAGGGCTATAAAAATAGCTGAAGCTGCTGCTGCACCAAGCACAGGTAACAAGGCCTTGGGAGGGATAACAGGTATATTCCAGTCAGAGTACGGCAAAAAAACCCCTGACAAGTGATTCACTTGTACCCTTGCTGGAGTTGTTACCTGGTGTAGGAAGTCTGTCGTACGGTGTGGGGTTTGCTGAACCACAGCCCTTTATGGCTGCTCAGCTTGTGGCTTGGCATTATTGCGTCTTTCACCTTGGCGTGTGAATCCTTGGCCTTGCTATCGCTCGCTGAAAGACGGAGCGCTACTCCCACCGTATCGGGGTGGATCAGGGGGGCAAAGAGATGCGGCTGCAAAAGCCTTCGTGGTGCAGGCAAGGAGCACGCCAGCCCACGGCGTGCCGGAGGGACCACGAGGCCTCTCAAACTGCTGCCCTTTGCTTCACGTCCCGGGTCGCACGCTGAAATCCCTGCCGCGAAGCGGTCGTGTGCTTGCTGTAGTCTCACCAAAGTCAAAGGGAATTAAACACGCCTTCCAAGCCCCACATGTGCTGGAGCGCTCCCGTGGGTGGGAAGCGTGGGGTCGCGCTCTCGCCCTTGCTGCCAGGAGGTGCGTTTCTACCTCGCAACAGCTTTGCGGTGGCCAGCGATGGAGTGGAAGGCTTGCAATACTTGCTGCTGTGTTTTAGCTGTATTCAGAAGGGAGCACATTCCATCTGAATGCAAGTTTGGTTTTGTGCCTCTGAGCAGCTCCCAAATTTTCAAAGAGTTACATGGGGATTTATCCAGCCAAATCCCATTATAATCAATGGAAGCCGGGTGAATAATTACACTGCCGTTCTTTGTAAATAACAGGGCAGGTTGCCAGTTATTGCTGATTATGATGCTGACTTTTTTGTAAATATAGATGCGCGTGTCTGTTGGGAACTGCACTCGGACCGCCAGGTTATTTCACGTATCGGTACAGTTTCCGTGTTTACTGCGCGTATCACTTCAAAGAACCGAGGTTGATGACTTCTGGTCCACTGTGTTCGCAGTCCATCTCCTCTCCATCTCCTGTTGTTTCCTTTCACAATCTGAGTAACAAAAAATGGTGGTGTAAATAGAACTCCAACAAAGAGGTCTGTTGAGCCTGTAATGCTCCCCTGAAAGGAGGCTGTCGCGGGGATGAATGGAGCAGCCTCAGCCTAGCAGTAGCGGGGAAATAGATGACTTGGCATTGGAGAGTAGCAACCAGCAGGGTGCATATGCCTAGTGTAGTGGCAAATAATAGTTAAGCTACTCAGTTGAAGGGCTAAATGAGAGTACATTGTCTAACCCTGTAACCGTAACTAAATCGTAACCTGAAAAGAGTTTATAAACATCTGGCTGCTAGCCCATCTCTGGAGCTTAATGGCTAAATCCGAGGTGCAGATTTTTTTTAAGGCTGCAAATTATTACTTGGAAGTATTACCGTCTTAAGGAGATTAATTGCATTTCAGGACTGTAGAGTGTATTAAATTGTGGTTTGAAGATCTTTCCTGAGTTGTCCCATTAAATTAGTTTCCCCAAAATGAACATCTATGACTGATGCTGTTTCCATTTGGAAATAGACACTCATTTGGAAACTCATTTTCATTTCATGACATCTTGTTGCACGTTTTATAGCTCTGCTCAGTATTCCCTACAAAATTCTACTCTGGTGCTACACATTAACTTCACTAATTATCATATTTGTGTTTTTATCCAGGAACTCATCTGTTTAAGCTTGAACGGAGTGACACATCTGTATCTTTTGAATTCTGAAAAATTTAGCAGTTCAGGAGCACATTTCCCTGTACGGTCCTATTTTATTTAAATGTTGTTATTCAATGACAATGAAAAGCATATACTGCTTAGACTAATAAGCATGTGACCTCCTCTGCAGACTAGCTTTTCAGTCTTTTTATAGCTCCCATTATTAATAGGACAGCATCTATGCGCTCTGCGTTTGTGTTGCAAATACTTACAATAGTTGGAATCATTTTCTAATTACTTAAACAATGCACTGTAGCAGCACCAATTGAAATTCCTGTAGGCTACAGCCTTGCTAATTGTTTCCTTTAGTAAACCTAATTTATAGAGCTGCGCAAATAGTTGCCGAGTTTAAAGTATTTTGGCAGCTGAACTGAAAAAAAATGTTATGGACTGAATGGA